AAGAAACCACTTGAGGAGTGACAGAAGTGGCCCCTACAGGAGGACAGATGCACCCTCACCTCACTTAGTCACTCAAATCCCAGAAAATTTCCTAGTGGGGGCTGAGATAGCTAACTTAGAGAATAGTATTTAATTACATCAGGCAGACATTATCCAAGGGGAAAATGGACTATACTCAAAAGAGTAAGATGATTTCTCCATATACTGGGCTGGTTAGAAAATAACTAGATCTTGACTTAGGTTCTGATCATGCCCTTTTTAAAGAAATATTGAATAATTTAAAAGTGTCTTGAGGAGAGCAACTATCCTGGGGATGGAACTGGAATTCAGATCACATCATGAAGAATGGAGGTATCTATGGGGCGCCTGGGTGGCTCAGTCGGTAAAGCGTCTGCCTTTGGCTCAGGTCATGATCTCAGGGTCCTGGAATCGAGCCCCACGTCGGGCTCCCTGCTCAGTGGCGAGCTTGCTTCTCCCTCTCCCTCTGCCTGCTGCTCTCCCTGCTTGTGCTCTCTCTCTCTTGCAAATAAATAAAATCTTTAAAAAAGAAGAAGAAGAAGAAAATAATGGTGGTATCTGGTTATAATTATCTCAGAGAAAAGATATTTGGGAGAAAGGAATGCCCCAGTGTGTCTGAATATGGAAATATCTATCTGCAGAAGACATAGCTTCTGTTGGCATTATGGAATCAAGGAACAAGAACAATCATGGGAACTATGAATATTAATTTAGGCAAAAATAAGTGAAAACTCACTCCTGGAGCTGCCCAGAGAAGCAGTGTTTCCCTGGGAAGTGGAGCATCCCATTCTCTGAAGATGGTCAAACATAGACTCAAAAGTTAATAGGGATGTCACGGAATGATTGTATAAATAAATGGATAATTTGGCCAACTGATTGGCAAGATTACTTAAGCTATTAAGATTTGGTGAAGTCCATGATCATTTAGGCGTCATTGCCCTGAATTTTAACCAAGGCACTTTTCAGAGTAGAAAACCTACTTCTCACAGTGGCTTTGCCACTAACAATGTCATTCTTCCTTTTCCTTCTTCAAAAACTTTAGTTGCTTTGAAGTTCACACCATCAGATTTACTGCCATTATCCTTCCTTTTGGATAATTTCTCTCTTTTGTTTCACAAGTCTATAGATCTAGAAGGAGTGTACTTTGGAGCTATACTTAAGGGGTCACACCCAAGGAGATTCATCCACTTGGGCCTAATTTCAGTGATGAGATTCTGGACTTTGAGCTTATGGTGTAATAAGATGAGAGGTGGGAGGACTTTAGTAGTGAGTAAGTATATTTATTATGTGGATCACGGGGGGCTAAAAAGCAGAGTGTAGTAGGCAGCCTTTGAGATGACTACCAATTATCCCACCTCCTAGTATTCATGTCTTTGTGCAATGCCTTTCACTTGAGTGTGGGCTGGATTTACTGACTTGCCTCTAGTGAAGAGAGTACAATGAATGTGGTGGGATGTCATTTCCAAGATTAGGCTGTAAAGGAACTGTGACTTTCATATCAGGTGCCCATTCTCTCCCTCTTGGAACCCTTGCTCTGGGAGAATCCAGCTGCTAGGCCATGAGGACTATCAGCTAATGTATGGAGAAGCCCATGTGGCAAGGAAATGATATATCTGGCCAACAGCTGGTGAGAACCTATAGCCTGCCAAAGCCACATGAGTGAGCTTGGAAGTGAATCCTTCCCTAACCAAGTCATGAAATGACTGAAGCCCCAGCCAACATCTCAACAACTACCTCATAAAAGAACCTGAACTAGACATACCTAGCTAAGCCACACCTAGATTTCTAAACCACAGAAACAGTGAGATAATAAATGTTTGTTGTTCTAGGCCACTAACTTTTGGGGTCATTTGTTATGCAGCAATAACTACTATAATGAAACAGATCGTGTATCAAAATGCAATAAAACACATTTATTCTTAATTCTTAATAATAAGTTATATTAATTATTGATATAAATCTTAATTCTTGATTTTAAAAATGTCATTCTTAAAAGCAATAGCGAAGGAAAAAAGAAAATTGGGTAATTTTACATTGTATATGTAAATTCTTAAATTTCCAAACCCTACTGCTAATATTAAATGCTTTGTAAATATTAGTCATTGTTTATGTGTTTATATAAATAGTACCTGGGAGGGTTGTATCTGAGAAGCGAAGAAGGTAAATGTTTCAGAGCTGGAGACGTGTACAAAAGGGACTTCAACTTTATCAATAATGTTTTACTTCAATTATGTTTTTTAAAGATCCAAAGTAGATATAAGAAAATGCCCATTCTGAGTGGTGGGTGTTTGTAATATTTTTCTCAAAACTTCCCTGTATTTTGCTCCCCCATTTGGGACCTAAGTGTAAATAAAGATTTATTTGTAAACATGTTCAGGCTTGGCAGAACATTGTTTATAATAGGAGGTTCAGATGTTTTATGGACAAGTCCTAGCAAACCTGAAAGGAGCCAATAAATGCTCTGTTATTTAAACTGTTGCCAAGTATGGAAGAGGTACATGGTTTCCCAGTACACCTTTTACACTTGCCATGTTTAAAATGTTCAGTTTGCATGTTGGCAGGTAGCCAGTACAACAGAGAAATCCACAATTGGTAATGTAAAAAAAAAAAAATTAACAAACATAGAGATGGATTTTTACTATTGCAAAATGAAATTTGAAATTCCAGCTATGTCAAGAATTTTGCTATTAGTAAACAAATTATTTGAGGAGATATAATTCCTTAAATTTATAAAGTAAGAAAGTGTTGACAGTTCTGCCCAGGACTGAGGTAAGAGGCATCACACTTTCCAGAGCCTCATTCTTCCTCGGGCATGACTGAAATCTCCATGGAAGATGTGGAGAGAGAATTTAAATGGGGTATCCATCAAAATGTCATTTCTAGAAGACATTCCATCTATGGTAATTCTTTTGCAATGTCAAGGTCCCTCTCTTCTTCCTGTTTTTAATTTTCTTTTCGGACTTCAGTTGCAAATAATTGAGTTAATTATATTCCTTATGGCACATTACCACTTCTTGTCCTTGCAAGATCTATGTCCTATATTTTTCTTTATGTACTTATATACCAACTAATTTAATTCCTATTCTCCTTATGCCCCATTATCTTCCTATAGGCAACTATTTTATTTTCTTTAAGGTGTATTCTCTAGCAAACAGCCTTTAGACTTCATCTTCACTGTCAGCTCTCCTTGATATCTAACCTGCTGGCCCACACTACAGATTTGGACATATCAGCCTCCAAAATCACACAAGAAAATTCCTTTTATTACATCTCTTTAAATATATCCTATTGGTTCTCTCTGGAGAACCAGACCAAAACAGTACCTCATGGAAAGAATCACCTCTTGCTGTCTACCCACTCTCCTAGTGATGGACACAGATTTTCTTTAAAATCTATATTATCACAGAAACATGAGCATCCTCAAATGTGTCCCCTTATGGACCCATGTAAGAATGTTCTGAGTTTCAGACCTAAATCTTTTCACAGACCCAGAGCCTTTGATTAAAGGGGAGACCAGATCCCCTTGAGGAAGGATTCTGCATAATTGCTACAAATACACTCTGCAAACCTCCCTCTAATCTTTCCCCAAAAGAAAACCAGTCCAACCATCTCCTAAATGTTTAGATTTGATAATTACATAGCAGGAACATTCAGTCAGATGTTTCCTTAGATTAGTTATTTTTAAAACTGCCTCTTAAAATGTCAAAAACATAAGCAAACAACAGACAAAAATTCCTTTTTTTTTTCTTTAAAGATTTTATTTATTTATTTGACAGAGAGAGACACAGCGAGAGAAGGAACACAAGCAGGGGGAGTGGGAGAGGGAGAAGTAGGCTCCCCGCTGAGCTGGGAGCCCGATGCGGGACTCGATCCCAGGACTCTGGGATCATGACCCGAGCTAAAGGCAGTCGCTTAACCAACTGAGCCACCCAGGCGCCCAACAGACAAAAATTTCTAATTTTACATTTTATTTAAATGGTCCATTAAGTGAACTGATCATTAAAACCACTGTTAAGGGGTGCCTAGGTGGTACAGTCAGTTGGGTGTCCCAACTCGTGGTTTCGGCTCAGATTGTGATCTCAGGGTTGTGGGATCTGGCTCTGCACTTAGCACAGAGTCTGCTTAGGAGTCCCTCTCCCTCTGCCCCTGCCTGCTAGCTCTTTCTCTCTCTCTCTCTCTGGAATAAATATATCTTAAAAAAAAAAAAAAAAAAAAACAGTGTTAAGTTAATCAAGCCTTAGCTATTCTCAATGGCCAAAAACCTTAGTTTATTTTAGTCTGAGGCTTCCCTAGACCATTTCTGTCTTTGGCTTCCCAAGTCCGTTCACTGTGGGGAAATGGAGCCCACTCAACTCAAAAGAGCTTTTGGTGATATAAAGATTGGAAGCCAAGGGGTTGTTTCTCATTTCTCCCTTCCAATTTGAGCATCTATAATTGTGGACACCAGCCACCCTTGCAGACCAAGGTGGACCCACTAACTTAGAGGGCCCAAGGTCATCGTGTTCAAATGTGATCTGAAGGAAATCTATGTAGGGGTGTATTGAAAGGAATGAAAGCATTCTGAGAGTTTTGTTCATTATGCTAACCACTCACATTTTTATTAGCAGTTGGCATCAAAGGAGTCTTTTTAAAGACTGGGCAACATCAAAAGAAAGAAAAACTGGAGAGAAGGCTTTGCTGAGGTGAAATTAATTGACAACATGAGGAAATGCAAGGTGTAGTGTGGACCATGCTTGCAGAAAGGTTCTCCTTGATGAAGAAAGATCTCTTAGTGGCTGGACAAATCCCCTCATCAGCACCTAGAGAGAACGTGGGGCTGGACTCAGAATGAAGTTAGCATACAGATAGCATTTGCACTCAGCCAGAAGAGGTCCCCACAGGGTGGCAATGCACTTGCAGATAGTGGCAGACCTCAGAGGAGGTGTGAAGGGTGCTGCATCAGTGAAGTGTTTCCTTACAGAAGCTGGACTCGTGACTGGGTGTCAGGAAGTTGGCGAGCAGGTGCTGGTTTTGCAGAGACTTGGGGCAGTTGGTTGAAAGCAATTGCAGCCACTGCTGAATGATTTGCCTAAACCTGTCACACAGCAAGCTGGTTGGCAGGAAGGGGATTCGTGGCCACCTTGGTTGCAGGAAGTGGATCCATCACAAGTTGGTTGGCCAGAAAGCACTGTGCCACAGGAAACTCGTTTGCAAGGGTTCTTTACAAAACATGGGAGCTGGCAGTTAGCCACTGGCTGGCAGATGAAGGATATGGAAGGTGCTGGTTGGCAGTGAAGTGGCTGGCAAGGGCAGGACACACAGCATGTAGGATTGCAAGAACTGAACACAGAAGTTGATGGCTGACAGGGAACCAATTGGCAAGTCTTGAAAATGTAGCAGATGGGTTGATAATAAGTTGATTTGCAGAGCTGATCTTCACCATTAATGGGCTGACATGGACCTGGTTGGCGGCAAGTTGGCTGGCATGGACTAGCTGCACAGATGGTTGGTGGGCAAGAATTTTTGATACAGGAAGTTACCTCAGAGCAGGATGGCTGGCAGGACCTAGTGTCACAGCAGATCGATTGGCCACACGCTGCCTGACATGATCCGGATACAAAGACAGGTTCTTGGCAGGAGCTTTGCTGGTCGAGGCTGGATTCACAGCAATTTGCCTGACAACTGGTAGATTCCGAGCAGGAGGGTTGGCATGAGCTAACCAGACAAGCAGACTGACCAGTGCCAGATTCATAGCATGCTGTGCAGGAGCAAATGGGTTGGCAGACAAAACCAACGCAAGAAGTTGCTGGAAGGCAGGTAGGTTGGCAAGAAGCAGGTTCACAGCCAGTTGGGGCACTGTTGGATGGCTGACGGTTTTCTTGGCATGTGACCAATTGCCACGTTCTGCTCCGGCAGGAACTAGGCAAACAGATACCATTTTGGAAGCCACCACCATTTGAACACATGAAAGTGGGCACAGCTGGAATGGCCATGATGGTTCTGGGACAACAGCTGTCCCCTATGGCACTGCTGTTAACCTTGCTAGGAAGTTGCAAACTCAGTATACCTGAGTGTGAAAGACATCTACTATATGGGAGCTTTTATAGTCCTTCACTAGGGGTGTTGGTACAACTTAGAGCATCTTTCCTTGTTATTGTTTCTACTCATTTGCCTACAAACATCTGATTAGCAGGCTTCAGGAGCCTGGATAGATATTGTCCCCACTTTAAAAACTTGTCTGTTGAGTTGAGAGTTTTCTTTGCAGAGTTTGGATTCCTTGATGCTGTTCCTGCTCTGGGATGACCTGTCTCTTTTACAGGTTGTTCTCCAGCCTCCCTGAAGCAGGGCTTTCCCTGAACTAACCTCTCATCAGGAGGCCTCATCCCAGCCAAAGCAACCTGCTCTTCCTCCAGGAATGCCGTTCTGCACCATTTAGACAATCAGGAAATGAAGCCTTGACCTAGTTGAAAGAGGGTGATGTCTGAGATGGCGAACAGAAAATCAGGCAGTGCATCCCAAAGGCACTTCAATGTCTCCACTTCTTTCTAGAACCTTCCCATTTGGTTCTCCTGAAACTCAGTTTTATTAGTACCACTAATAATAGCAGTAGTAGTAGTAGGAATGGCTTCCATTCCATTTATAGCATACTTACTATACACCAAGTCCTTGACTGTATTTTTCATTGAATCTTGCGATGACCCTAGGTAGTAGGTATAATACTCACTACTATAGCAAAACTAACTCAGAGGGTTTAAATCCTGAATTCCCAAAATTATGCAAGTAATAAAAGTTTGAAATAAGATCCAAACCTAGTTTGGCCTGACCCCAAAACCTCTGATCTTAATTATCTGTTAGACCTCCTGACTTTGGAGTGGAAGAGAAAGACTGTAATATAGTGATTGAAGACTGACATTTGTATAGCAGTGCACTGACTCATGGGCAGGTGGCCCAGGCCCCATGCTGGGGACCATTCATCCACTCCAGTGACTAGATTAAACTGATATGAGTACTTACCTCTACTTATCCATACACCCAAAGACAATCTTTTAATTTGGAAATTTTAATAACTGCAAGATATTTTGCCAAGAATTAAATCATATTATGGAGTTCACAACATATAAATTCTATAAATATAAAACTACATCCAAAAGTGATATAAGGACATCACTGCAAAGTAATTTTTGTGTTAAATCACCCTCTTCAAAGAGGGACTTAGGAGGCGTTGGTTGTCCTAATTCTTCCCCTCTTTCTCTGGGCTCATCCTAGCTCTGTATCATCAGACCACTTCAGCATCCCACACTGGTCCATGTCTGACCTGGTTCACACCAGAGATTCACAACAGAATAGAAAGATCATGGCCTTGGGATCCCAATGGGGCTAGTGTCATTTTCTGGCTCTGCTGCTAACTCACTCTGTGGGACGTGTCAGCTCATTACCCAAGTATTCAAAGTACTAAGAGTTTATCTATTAACCACATTGCTATTGCTCAGGTTATTTTTATTTTTATTAGCTGCCTCACAATTACTGAAAATGCTGGAAATTCTGGAAGGTACTTTTCAAAGTACCAGCTAAAGAATACCTTCTCCTTGGCACCCTCCTCCTCACCCTCATTTTAAAAGGAAGAGAAATTTTTCTGATCAGAATGATGCCTGGGAAATCCTCAGCCTTGTCATTAAAATACCTTTATTCTACCTTTGCTTTTTGTGTTATAGCACTGATCACTCCTTTTGCCATCACTAATCATTTTGGCACCTTGCAAACTGCAAGGATCACTGCACTCTGTTTTATTCCTGTCTACATCCCAGAGCTCTCATCTTTCAGAATAAATACTTTTGGTCTTACCAAATAGGTCAGTCATAATGGGAACATGAATATATTTGAGAAACCATGTCAACTTCAACCTGAAAAAGGTGTCAATGTCCTATACTCATACATACCACTTTTATTGTTTTAAAACAATCAATTTTTACATCCATTTTTCTCCAATTCTTTTCTTGCCTTTCTTCCTCCTAAAGAAACTTCTCAAGTTGTTGGTAAAGGGTACAAACTCTCAGCTATAAGATGAGTATAGTCTGAGGATCTAATATATAACATAGTCACTCTAGTTAATAATACTGTATTGCATAACTGAAACTTGCTAAGAGAGCTTAAATGTTCTCAAACTCCTCCCTCCCAAAAATATGAGGTGATGGATGTGTTAATTAATTAGATGGGAGGAATCTTTTCATGGGGCATATGTATATCAAATCATCACAGTGTGCACTTCAAATATCTTACAGTTTTGTCAGTTATACCTCAATAAAGATGAAAAAAATGTCTCAATAGGGACATCTTTCATTTTGCTGTGGTTCAAGGCACTAAAGATACCTGGTATATCACCAAGGGCTGTTGTGATCACATCAAGAAACATGATGATGCATAAAAAAACACAAACTTTGGACAGAACCGTATGTTCTGTATGTTACATGTATTTACATGGTATGTTACTTTTGTATGTTTCTTACTCCCTGTGGCTATCCTGAATTCCGTGTTTAGCATTCCCTTGTGAATATATATAAGGTATATATTTGTGTGTATGTGTGTGCATATGTGCACATGTATGTATACTCATACATACATGTATGCATGTGTGGGAGGTGTTGTTTTTGAGCTTTATAAACATATATGTGGTCTTGAGGCTTGTTTCTGTCAGCTCTACTCTGGTCAGGTTCACCCCTTTTTTGCATATGGCCATTGTCCAGTTGTGGGGTTTTGGGGGGGTTGGTTTTTTTTAAGATTTTATTTATTTATTTGTCAGAGGAAGAGAGAGCACAAGCAGGGGGAGCAGCAGGCAGTGGGAGAAGCTGGTTCCCTGCTGGAGCCCAACGTGGGACTAGATCCCAGGACCCTGGGATCATAACCTGAGCCAAAGTCAGATGCTTAACTGACTGAGACACCCAGGTGTCCCTGTCCAGTTGTTTTCACTGCAGCATAGTATTTATTGTGTGAATATACCACAATTTTCTTGTCTCTGTTTATGGGCCCTTGGATTGTTTGTCACTCATATTCATCTTATAAAATAGAGGGAAAGAAATCTTACCTCAAAGAATTGCTATAATTTATATGAATCACTGGGACTGTGCTTGGGACAGAGATTTAAAACCCTGGCCAACTCCTCTTGACTCTATAAGGAGATAGAGATAAATCTCAATGGCCTGATGAGACAGTAACCCTGACACCAATGTGCTGGTTAAGTTCCACCTTTGAGTTCCTCCCTCTGCCACTAACCCAGTGGTTCTCAAACAGGGACGATTTTTGCCCCTCATCCCCAGGGATGTTTGCTACTGTCTGGAGACACTGTTGATCATCACAATCAGGCAATCAGGGGATGCTCCTAGCATTTAGTTGGTAAAGTCCAGGGATTCTGCTTAATATCCTACAATTTGAAGGATGGTCCTCACAACAAAGAATTATTCAGCTCAAATGTCAATAACACTAAAGTTGAGAAGCCCTGGTCCAGCCCCTCTTGTGCTTAGGATAGCCCAAGCTGCACCTTGAGGACTAGGGATAGCCCTTTATGCCATGCACTAAGTGACTACTTTGAAGAGACTCTGTCCTTAGGATTGCAAGGGAGTATGTATGGAGTTTACACAAGGAGTGTGACTTGCAGAGACTAGGAGAACATAAAGTGCAAGGCTGTTTGCAGGGGCTGGGTATGTAGAAAGTCTGAGAGCAAGTTGGTTGGCAGATGGCAGATGCAGAAGAACCTAGGTGGCAGCAGAGAGGTTGGCAGGAGGTAGATGGGCAGGAAATGGGCTCACAGCACAAGAAATCCAGGTTATCTTCCTTATTGTAAGTGGGACCTCCCACTTGTTTTTATCCCATTGTGAACCCCAAAACCATTGGCTTGCTCCCCAGTCTCCCTATATCCAAGTCCATGCGCCTTCATTCAGTTCTCCACACCAAGGCCAGAGGGACATTCCAAAACCCAGTGCTTTTCATGTCACTGCCCTGCATATGGCCCCTCAATGCCTTCATGTCAGCCCTGCACCAAACTAAAATGTCTCTGTCTAACATACAAGGCCTAATAGGGCAGGTCACTGTCTACGTAGCTGACCTCAGAGCTCACCTGCCTCCAAGCACACCTCTGCCCAAGCCTCACTAATGAATGGTGGGCTCACAAGCCCCATTCATTTGTATGTTTCCTCTGCCTGGAAAATGCTTCCTTTCTGGTTTTGGACTGGTTAATTCTTATTTGTGCTGAAAGACTCAGCTTCAGTATCATATTCCCCAAGAATTCTTCCTCATTTCTCCCCATGCCCTGCTGAGTTCAAACTGCCCTATGCTTGCTTCTCTCCCAGTACTTAGCACAATGCAATGAAGTAACTGTCTCTCTGCCTATCTGTCTCCCCCACCCCCATCCTGATAGTGAGCTCCCTGAGAACAAGGACTGAGACTTTAGTGTTCTCATTCCTACAGCCTAACACAGTTCCTGGCTAACAGCTGTCTAATAAAGCTTGTTGGATAGATGAATGGATAAAGCTGCTCTTGAAGACAAACCAAGTTAGCTGATGAGAGTATGACATTAACAGAGCAATGAGAACAGCATGTCACTTCAACTTAGCCACTTTATTGGACAGTTAAATATCTTTTTCTCATGGAAGAAGTCCCCAAGGAACATGAGTACACCCAGAAAGGGAGCACATGCATGAGGACAGAAAAAACTTAATGCTGGGAAAGGGACTCAAGATGATGTGGTGAAGTCGCTCTTTTCAGCTTGATGGCAGCAGCAGGCAGGAACCCAGAATGATCCCCCTCTAGGTGCCCAGGGCACCTTCATTTGGACCATTAGGAGACTAACATTTCTGGTGAGTTCTTTGAAGTATAAGAAGATGGCAAGTGATGGTGCAGAAAGATTCTAAGTAAATCATTGTGAGCTTTGGGGAGGGTACTTAAGGTTTCTCTCTAGCTGGAGGTTTTCTTTGCAGGAATCAGTGGGCTGAGGCCAGATCAG